TCTCCAATCTGGGATCCCTCAAGGGATGTCAGACTTCCCGTTTAGGCCCAACAGGATAGGGAAGTCGGACATCCCACTCACAATCCAGAACTGCTGGCTCCCAACTGCTTGCCTGCCTGCCTTCCTGATCGCCCCTAACCACTTCTGCCTGCCAGCCTGATCACCCCTTAATCCCTCTGCTGCCAGCCTGATTAATACCTAACTGCTACCCTGCCAGTCTGTTCACCCCTAACTGTCCTCCCCTTCAGGCCTGGTCAATCCTAACTGATTTCCCCCACAGGCCTGGTCACCCCTAACTGCCCTCCCCAACAGGCCAGGTCTCACTCAACTGCCCTCTCCTGCAGGCCCAGTCACCTCCAACTTCCCTCTTCTGCCAGCGTGGTCACCCTTAACTGCCCTCCCCTGCAGGCTTGATTGCCCCCAACTGCCTTCTCTTGCAGGCCTGGTCCCTCCCAACTGCCCTCCCCTGCTTACCTGATCGCCCACAACTGCCCTCCCTTACAGGCCTGGTCCTTCTCAACTGCCCTCCCCTGTTGGACATCTTGTGGTGGCCATCTTATGTCCACACAGGGCAGGATCTTTGACCACATGGGGCAGCCATTTTGTGTGTTGGAGTGATGATCAATCTACATATTACTCTTTTATCGGATAGGATAACCTTGAATTGGGAAGGTTGTAGAAATGGTGATGTACAGAGTATACTTCTTTGGGGGGGGGAAGCCAATTTTTCTATTTTTTCTCTTACCCCATTCACAAACACTAACAATTATACAAACAAAAAGATTTTTTTTTCACAATATAAAAGTCATCTTGATACCCTATATCATTTACATAATTGTAGACTAGTTAAGTATAAGCTTAAAAAGGGTAGTGATTTTGTTTTTATTTGTATCCCTTGGCATAAGAGACAAATAAATCCATGCTAAATGACTGAATAAATATTTGACAAATGAATGACTGCATGATTTCAGTGTAGTGTCTAACATTATAATTACCTCAGCTACTAATGATAGCATTACAGTGCCCTCTCATGGTTGTATTTTGTAGTGGAAGTGAAGTAACCTACTTTGTTATTCATAGTTTTACTATCTTAACTACAATATAAATTAATCACAATGGAATAATTAGCAGTAACATAATTAACAAAGCAAGGGCAACTTCTAAGGAAAATATAACTCTGTAACTACCATTCTTTATTTTCTGAATTCAACTCATAAAAATATAAAATCTGAAGAATTGTATAAGCTTCAAAGTCTGGTGTTTACCCTTAATCTAAGTGAAAGCTAAGATAAGCTAAAGTTAAGTAATTATTTTAAAGCCATAAAAGATCGCTACGTAAATTCTAAATCTCCCCTTACAGATGGTATGCCTTTTCCCAAATACTTAAAGAAGTTAAATATGTTGGTAGATATAAAATCATAGCTTTTTCATTCAATAATACAAATTCTAATAAAATATTATATGAAATTACTTTTTCACTTTAAAAAATATATGATTTCCATGAAATAATTATACAGTCCCCTTTTTACAGTTGACAGAGTACAATATAAACTCATCCCTAACATATGCTGTATATTTTTATTTCTACATGCTCAAAATATACAATAAATTTCTTATATTCCAAGTAAATTAAAGACCTCCACTTATAAAACCCAGTTCCCAAAATAGAAATATTTCAATTGATATCAAAAGTTAAATTCTATTTATAAAGTTCAGCTATGTCAATCAGTTCACCTAAGCCAACATCTGAATGTATAAGGTAATTAGAGTAACTGAAAAATCCATTGAAAATATCTGCCAGGTAAAGAGTTTTTTCAATAAATGTTGTTGGCAAAGTTGGATAGGTAAATGCAAAAAAAATGAAACTAGATCACCAACTTACACCATATAAAAAAATAAACTCAAAACAGATAAAAGACTTAAATGTAAGATGGGAAACCATAAAAATCCTAGAAGAAAACATAGGCAGTAAAATCTCAGACATCTCACCTAGCAATATTTTCCCGATACATTGCCTAAGGCAAGGGAAACAAAGAAAAAAATAAGCAAATGAGACTACATAAAAATAAAAAGCATCTGTACAGCAAAAGAAACCATTAACAAAATGAAAAGGGAACATACTTTGGTAAAACATGTGTCAACAATACATCAGATAGGGGATTAATTTCCAAAATGCACAAAGAGTTCATACAACTCAACAGCAGGAAGACAAACAATCCAATTTAAAAAATCAGCAAAGGACCTGAACAGACACTTCTCCAAAGAGAACATACTGATGAGATGACCAATTAACATGAAAAAATGCTCGGAAGTTGCTCATCATCAAAGAGATGCAAATTAAAACTACAATGGGGTATCTCCTCCCACATACCAGAATGGCTACTATCAATAAATCAATGAATAGCAAGTGATGGTGCGGATGTGGAAGAAAGAGAACCCTATGGTAGACAGCTGATGGAATGCAGACTGGTGCAGCCATTATAGGAAATAGTATGGAATTTCCTCAGAAAATTCAAAATGGATCTGCTGTTTTACCCAGTAATCCCACTTCTAGTTTTATATCCCTAAAGAATCCCAATACACCAATCAGAAAGAATGTATGCACTCCTATGTTCATAGCAGCGTTTTTTACAACAGTTAAGTGCCTAAATACCCATCAGTAGATGAGTGGATAAAAAAATCGTGGTACATTTGCACCATGGAATACCATACAGCTGTAAAAAAGGAGCTTTTACCCTTTAAGACTGCATGGAGGGACCTGGAGAGTATTATGCTAAACAAAATAAGCCAGTTAGAGAGAAAAACAAAATTGTCTCACTTACATGTGGAATATAATGAACAAAATAAACTGATGAACAAAATAGGTCCGAGTTATGTATACATGGAACAGAATAACAGATCTCAGGGGACAGCAAGACATTAACCAAAGAACATATATACACATATGCATAAGTTATAGACAGAGCCAATAGTATGGGGAAGGCCTGGGGTGGGGCGGGATTGGGTGGAGAAGGGCAAAAGGGGAGAATGGGAGACATCTGTAATACTGTCAACAACAACAAAGCGCACACACACACACACACACACACACACAAAAGAAAATATGTGTCACATATCACAAGTAAAGCTGAATAAGAAGACATAAAAATGCTTTTGTATTTGTGTAGTTTAGTTTCAAAAATTCTACTATTCTAATAATCTGGTTGTATAATAAACAATATATTTTAAATAGTATGAGTTGTTGCTGCTAAAAAAGGAATTTTAGCATATGACCTTAAATCATCTCTCCTTTTAGAAAAAAAAATACATTAGAGACAAATAGCAATTATTTTAGACCAAATAATTTTACAACTAGAAGAAATCTTGCCATTATTTTGCTCAGTCTATTCCTTTTGCCAATGGAACAACAACAACAAAATGAACCCCAAAGAAGTGAACAAACTTCCAACAATCAAATATCTATTTCAGAAAAAATACTAAAACTTCTTAAATCAATATAATTTCCACATTACTCTTCAATAAAGTTAAAAATCTTTGTCTGATTCACAATGCAGTGATATTTTAATTATTGAAAACCAGTAGAAGACACACTGGGCAAGTAACCAATTCTGATTTCTTAAACATTTCAGTTCTCAGCTTTAGGCTTTTCATCTTTTTAGATGACATGTGAAAACCTCAGTAATTCTATGATTTTTTTTTTTAATCCTCACTGGAGAATATGTTTTATTAATTTTTTTTAGAGAAAAAGAGAAACATCAATCATTTGCCTCCTGTACACACTCTGACCAGGGATAGAACCTGAAACCTATGTATGTGCCCTAACCTGGAATCAAACCCATAACCTGTTTGGTATACAGGACAATGCGCCAACCAATTGAGCCTTCAGGCCAGGGCAATAATTCTGTGACTTTTAATACAAAAGTTTCCCCTGTCACAATACTTTGAAATTATGTATTCACTAGAGGCCCGGTGCATGAATTTCTGCATGGGGGGGGGGGTGTCCACCTTGGCCTGGCTGGCGATTGGGGCCAGCCAACCAGGAGAGGAATCGCGGGAGGTTGGCCGGCCATGGGAGGTTGACTGTGGCAGTGCAGTAACCACCAGGGGGCAACTCCTATGTTGAGCATCTACCCTTGATGTTCAGTGTGCATCATAGCTACTGGCCGATCATCTGATTGTAATGGTTGCTTAGGCATATATATATATATATATATATATATATATATATATATATATATGCACGAAATTCGTGCAAGGGGCTCAACCCCTGCTGCCATGGCGGCCACCTCCTCTGCCTCGGCTCTCGTCACCATGGCTTCATCAGGAAGGACCTCAGGTCTAATTAGCATACTATGCTTTTATTATTGTAGATGGGTCTAACTTCCTTGCTAGACTATAATGATCCTTATGGGCAGAGCATAGGTTTTATTCATCATGTATCCCCCAAGGCTAGCAGTGTCTAGTTTAAAAAAACAAAACAAAACAAAACAAAACAAAAACGAGGGGTGGGGGGAGAACATCTTCTAAATTCCTAAGATGAAACATGTTTTACTTATGAAATACCAAGGTATAAATAACACATTTCATAACCAAATTATCTATTATGTAAAAATTCTGACAAAATAAAAACAGTATTTCTCATTGTCATATGACAGTGAATTTTTAGACCATGTCCAGCCTCAAAGTAGCCTGACCTATGTTTTGTGATGACTACAGAAAGAAATACTATGGAGGAAAAGTCCTAAATTATTAACTAGATAATTAAGTAAATAAACCATCCTTAGATAATCTAGATGTAAATATATAAATACTATCAATCTCAGATGAACACTGATAACAGATGAGCACTAAATGACTATATTCTTTACTTTATATTTCAATGTCTGGAAAGAGAAGTAGAATACTTAAATAATCAAAACAAAATACCACATGCCTTTTATAAGTACACATAAAAATATTATCATGTCTCCAAAAATGCCATTTGAACTTTAGCTACTTACTTGGTGGGCCAAGGACATCTTTGCTATCACCAAGAAGCTTTTAATGCACGGTAATTGAGCAGCGAACAAATACAATCCAAACAAGGAAGAAGCACAATGCATCAGGATTGAAGCAGCAGTGAAACAAAAGGACAAGGAAAATAGCATTAGTTTATAAGTAGAAAGCACATGCACAATCCTAGTAATCACAATTCAGAAGGAATTTCCTTTTCCACACATAAAAAGATCTTGGCTTAAGCATTATCCAATATTTGTTTTATTCTGGAAAATGAAGGTAGAAAGAGAAAAATGAATCACACAAGAATTTTGTTTTGAAAATTACTCAAGTAAAAAACTACTTTCAATTAGAATTTAAGATATGGGTTAGGAGTAGTAAAAATTATTTAGAAATGTAAGGTACAGTCAAAATTTATTCATTCTTAAATTTAAATAGTTTAGAATTATATAGCACCCATGCACTATTAAGTATTAGTTCTGCATGCCATGAAAGCACTTAATACTATATGGTAATACAGTTTATTTTTTTCTATAAAAAGAAAGGAACATTATATTCCAAGCATTGTGCAAAGACCTTTTACAAAGATTTACTCAAAGTAATACCATTATTTTCTCAAATGGCAAAAATACAAAGAGAAATATTAATTAGAATGATAAATTTTATTAAGTTTGACAAAATTTCCTTAGGGATTACTAAATATCAATTATACCACCTAGAGTTACTAGACTTTAGGAAGTTATAAGACCCAATTCTTAAAAGAATAACTTGAAATCAACTAAAAGAAACAGAAAAAAAGATTGCTGACCTTCAGTTACTATTTAAACATACATTACACTAAATGTCACCTACAGACAAGTGTTTTGGTTTCCCTTAGTGGGAACAAAGTCCTTAGCTCTCCATTTCAAATACCAAGTATGATAACATAATATAATTAAAATAACAACAAAAACAAAAATTTCCACTAATTACAATACTGCTTGGCCTTATTTAAGGGGAATGAGGGAGTCTTAATTGGCTGTGACAATTAATAGTGGTTGTTTGTTTTGGGCTTCTGTTGTCTCCTAGGAAAAAATCTTGGCTCTGTTAGTTCCCTAAAGTGATGGTTATTTCACAATGTTTGAAATTATTTTCCAATGCCTTTTAAAGGCATCTGCTTAAAAAATAAATAAACGGAGGCATATTGATTTTTCTGTAGTTGCCCATTTAAGTGCATTTTTTAATAAACTGATTTCAGTTTCACGGAATGGGGAAAACAAACAAACAACAAAAAAAAACACAAAAAAAAACAAAAAACACCCTACAACTTTAGTGACAATGAACTAATTATGATAAAGTCCTTATTACCATTTGAGAAGAACTATCAAGCATGTGTTAAGAAATTAAAATATTTGTGGTAGGCAATTTCTAAACTGGCACAGTGATCCCCACTTCTTGGTGTATAATCTCCTTGCTAGAAATCACTTCTAATGAACAGAATATGGCAGAAGGGAAGGAATGTCATTTTAAGATTAGACTGTAAAAAGATTATCACTTCCATCTTGTTTGGAGTCTCTTAATTCTTTTAGATAGGTCACTGGGGAAAGCCAGTTGCCCAGTCTTGTAGAGGCCCAGAACTCAGAGAAACTGAGATCTGTCAACAATTACTAAGTGAACTTTGAAGTGAATTTTCCATCTTGACCTTTCCCACCTGCCCTTCCCACTCACCCAGTCAAGGCTTCAAGACTGCAGCAGGCCCACCCAGCCTGGCTCAGTGGCTGAGTGCTGACCTATGAACTAGGAGTTCACGATTAGATTCCTGGTCAAGGGCACACGCCCAGGTTGCAGGCTTGATCCTCAGTGTGGGGCAAGCAGGAGACAGCCGATCAATGATTCTGTCATCAGTGATGTTTCTATCTCTCTCTTCCTCTCTAAAAAAAACTGCAGCAGGCCCCTTTCTCAGTGGCTTGATTGTAACTAAACAGAGATTTTGAGCCAGAGACCACTAGCAAAGCTGTTCTCAGATTCCTGACCTACAGAAATTGTAAGATAATAAATGCTTTTCATTTTATACCATTTACATTTAGGATGTTATGTTAATACCAATAAACAAAACATTGGAAACGGCAAGAAGTTAAGAAATTGAGAGAGACAGCTCTGGAAAACTAGAAATGTTTCAGACATTTTCTAAAAAATGTTCCAGTACTAATATGAATAATTACTAGTTTCCCAAGTTTTACCAGAGCTTCCTAATGAAAAGCAATGGTTTTAAACATTTATACATGGCTGGGAGTGTTTAATTTCACAAGGCTGGTCACAAGGCTATGTTGGATAAAAGATTAAATTTACTTTTATTGTACAGTTCTGTTACATTCTCAAATTCTGTTGATTAATAGCAATTTCTCAACTTTTGTACAACTGTACTTCTTGCTTCCGTACTCCCATAAAATAATCCCTAGTACACACAGCAATTTCTGAATATTAGTTTCAAATTATGCTGGCTTTCAATTTTATATCCTAAAGCATCTTTGTGTCATATAAACCTAATTCTACTGACTTAATCTAATATTATTTTCAGATTAAGAAAATGAATAACTAAAATAAGCATAATCTAATACTATCACAGATGCATCCAAGCATATAAATATTTACCGAATAGCTACTATACAGACAGGTATTAGTTTAGACATCAAGAAATATATTAGTGAGAGAGAAACCAAGATGGCGGCATAGGTAAAAACCTAAAATTGCTGCCTTGCACAACCACTTCAAAACTATAACTAAAAGACAAAACGGACATCACCCAGAACCACAGGAAGGCTGACTGAATGGAAATTTTACAACCATTAGGTCTAGTAATAATTAATGTCGTTTTCTAATACTTTTTTAAATCGAATTTATTTAAACAATACAACAAAATTTAATCAACAATATAGTTGCCATTGTTTTCTACTACTTGTGCCCAATGCTCAGGAAGCATTTTAGTCCCTCTGTTGTAAAATTCTTGTGATTTTGATGCAAAAAATTCGGTCAATGCATTTTTGAGGCATTCTTCATTATTAAATTTTTTTCCAAGAAGAAAGTTTTGCAAAGAACGAAACAAATGGTAATCGGAAGGGGCAATATCAGGAGAATATGCAGGTTGAGGGAGAACTTCCCATTCCAACTGGCGCAGTTTTTCAGCAGTGATTCTTGCAGTATGAGGTCGTGCGTTATCGTGGTGAAGAATTACGCCCTTCCGATTAATCAGTGCGGATTCTTTTTCTCTTAAAGCTTGGGCTAACCTTTCCAATTGGGCACTATACACTGCACTTGTAATGGTTTGGTTAGATGGTAAAAGTTCATAATGGAGAATTCCTTTAAAATTCCACCAAACACACAACATCACTTTTTTCGCATGCAAGTCAGGTTTTGGCGTGGGCTGCGGAGCCTCATTTTTGTCCAACCATTGAGGCCGCCTTTTCAAATTAACATACAGCACCCATTTTTCATCTCCGGTAACAATTTGCTCTAAAAACGGCAAACGGTTTTGACGAGAGAGGAGCGAACTGCAAATTGTGACTCTTTGATTACGGTTGTTGTCGGTCAACTCATGAGGAACCCATTTTCCAAACTTTTGGACTTTGCCAAGTGCACGCAATTGATTGGAAATTGTTTTTTGTGAACAATTTAAAGTTGTCGCAAGCTCTTGTTGGGTAATTTGAGGATTTTGCACCAAAAGAGCTTGAAGACCTTCTTGATTGGACACACGGCCTCGACCACTCTTGTCATCTAACGAAAAATTTCCCTCGCGAAATTTCTCAAACCAACGCTGGCATTTTCTGGCGCTAACTGCATCTTGACCAAGAGCACTACAGATGTTTTTTGCAGCCTCACTTGCTTTTCTTCCTAATTGGAACTCGTAAAGCATGCAGTGCCGAATATGCTCTTCATCCGCCATCTTCTTAGCCCTAGTTTTGCAACAAAAACCAAACCAAACACAAACTTTTTCAAGCAAAACTTGTTAATTGCACTTCACACGTTCTGTAGATACCTCGTGTTTGAAGGTTATGTCAATACAAGTCAACGCCAAGCAAGATTTTAAACGAATGTTTAAAAACGACATTAATTATTACTAGACCCGATAGAAGGAAAGAGAAAAGCTCACTGAAACTCAGAGGAGCTGCAGAAGTGCAGAGGTACAGTGGCATGCGTGGGGAAAGCCTAGCAACAGAGTACGCCGCTGTCATTTTCTTTTATTCTTTTTTAAAAAAATATATATTTTATTGATTTTACACAGAGAGGAATTGAGAGGGATAGAGAGTTAGAAGCATTGATGAGAGAGAAACATTGACCAGCCACCTCCTGCACACCCCTCACTGGGGATGTGCCCGCAACCAATGTACATGCCCTTGACCAGAATCGAACCCGGGACCCCTCAGTCCCCAGGCCAACGCTCTTCCACTGAGCCAAACCGGCTTCGGAGCCGCTGTCATTTTCAGTCGGGTGGGAGACACAAGCTCCTAACTGCTCTGAACTCCAGTTCCAGGTGAGATTCTGGGGACCCAGACTCATACGGAAAGAAATTGGACTGTCTGGCATCGGGCAGGACTCGGCTTTCTCTCAGAGGTGCCTGCAGTGATTACCGAGGGACATTGAGACCTGGGGGCCTCTTAGGGCAGGGCCAACGGTCAGCCATTGCTGTTTGCTCCGCCCTGAGAAACCGCCCCACACAAGTTGTGCAGAGGCTTTTGCATATGAATGGCTTGGTTCTTTAAAATCTAAAATTACCTAACAAACTGCAACTGAGTTAGAGAGACCAGAACATCCGCAAGAAGGCCCACGGCCCCACAGCAGCTTGCATTGCTTCATGGCTGGGCCTCATCTGGGAACCTCCAAACCCCAAACAAAGAAGAGGAATCTGCAGATCTCTCTGTAACTCCTGCTGGGTGGCCCCAGGCAGAGGCTAAATTAGCAACTCTTTGGAGATCCAAGAGCCAGTGTACCCAGTGGTCAGAGTGGGACCATCCAGATTACAACTCCTCAGATCCATAAGGGACACACTCAGGCAACAGACTCAGTGAGCACCAAAGCCCCACTGAAGCAAATCTTGCCTCATAAGGGTGTCTCCAGCACAAAAGTTCTCCCATCTTAGACACAGCTGATCCTCACAGCCAATTGGCTTGGAGATCAATTCTTCCTGTGATACCAACAACAATCAAAGCTTAACTACAACAAGACTGTGCACACAGCCCACAAAGGGATGCACCAAGTGTGTATACCTCAGGCAACTGGGAAGGCTGAGCCACTGGGCCTTATAGGACACCTAGCATACAAAGCTACTCTATCAACACAGGGAAGCAGCCAAAATGCGGAGACAAAGAAACATATCGCAAATGAAAGAAATGGAGGATATAGAGTTTAAAACCACAGTTAAAAGATTTTTAAGAACTCTCTAGAAAAGGCCAATAAATTTAGTGAGACCCCGAGGATATGAAAAAGTAACAACTAGAAATTAAGCATACACCAACTGAAATAAACAATAATATTAATATACAGAGATCCAACTGCAGACTAGAGAATCACAGGAATCAAGTCAAAGATTTGAAATACAAAGAAGCAAAAAACACTCAACTGGATAAGTGAAAAGAATCCAAAAATTTTGAAGATAGTGTAAGGAGCCTCTAGGATAACTTCAAGCGTATCAACATCCAAATTATGGGGGTGCCAGAAGAAGAGAGAAAGATATTGAAAACCTATTTGAAGAAATAATGACCAAAAACTTCCCCTACCTGGTGAAAGAAATAGACTTATAAGTCCAGGAAGTGCACAGAACCCTAAAGAAAAGGAATCCAAAGAGGACCACACCAAGACACAACATAATTAAAATGCCAAGAGAAAAAGACAAAGAGAGAATATTAAAAGCAGCAAGAGAAAAACAGTTAGTTACCTACAAGGGAGTACCCATACAATTGTCAGCTGATTTCTCAACAGAAACTATGCAAGCCAGAAGGGAGTGGCAAGAAATATTCAAAGTGATGAATAGCAAGAACCTACAATCAAGATTACTCTACCCAGCAAAGTTCTCATTCAGTACTGAAGGTCAGATAAAGAGCTTCACAGATAACAAGAAGCTAAAGGAGTTCATCATCACCAAACCAGTATTATATGAAATGCTGAAAGGTATTCTTTAAGAAGAGAAAGAAGAAGAAAAAGGTAAAGATAAAAATTATGAACAAATACATATCTAGCAACAAGTGAATCTAAAAATCTAGTGAATAAAAAAATCTGATAAGCAGAATAAACTGGTAAATATAATAGAATCAGGGGCATAGAAAGGGAGAGGACTGACAATCCTCAGGGGGAAAAGGGTATGGAAGGTGTGGACAAAAATCATATACCTATGAATGAGGACAGTGTGGTGGTGGCAGGAGTAAGGGAATGGTATGGGGTGGGAACTGGGTGGAGGGGAGCTATAGGGGGGAAAAGAAGAACTGTAATAATCTGAACAATAAATATTTATATTTTAAATAAAAATAAAAATATACTAGTGAGCAAAAGAGACAAAAATCCTATCTTTGTGGCAGTTATGTTCTAACGGGGGAGGATGAATGTTCAAGTAAAAATTTGTAAGAAAATTCAGACATAAAATGTTAGGGAAGAGGGAGTTAAAATTTTAGATAAAGTGTCCTAAGAAGACTTCCCCACTGAGTAAAATGAGGTAGTAACTTACCTTAGGCCATAAAAAGGAAGAGTATTCCAGGCAGAGCAGGGAGCAAGCATAGAGTAGAATATTGATAAGGAAGCAAGTTTGGAGTGTTTGAGGATTAGTAAAAAGGCCAAAGAGGCTGAAATACACTACAAACAGGAGAGGATTAGGAAATGAAGTCAAAGAAATAAATAGGTGCCAGATTGTACGGGACTTTATAGGACCTAGTCAACTTCTGATTTTATTCTGGATGAAATGAGGGGCTGAATGAGACTATGAAAACGAGTGACATAATCAGATTATGTTTTAGCTGTATTGCTCTGACTGCTGTTGAGAATAGACTAGGAACAAGGATATATAATCAGTTAGGGGAGAGATGAAGGAAACTTGAACCAAAGTGGTAGCAGTGAGAGTGATGAGAAGTAGCTGATTTCTGAATATATTTTTAAAGTAAAGCCAACAGGATTTCCAAATCAACTATGTGATTAAAGAAAGAGGAATCAAAATGATGTCAAGTGTTGAGGTCTGAGGACCTAGAGACAGAAATGCCATTAACTAAGAATCAAAAGACAGTGAGAGGAGCCAGTTTACAGGGAGAAATGTAAGTAGCTCAATTTGGAACAGGTAAAGTTTGAAATGCCTGTAAGACATCCAAATCAAAATATGAAACAGGCAGTTGGACAAACAGACCGGTATAGGGAAAGGTGGAGATTGGTAAGAAATTATTATAAATTATGATGTGTGTGAGAGTTAGGCTATATTACCTATTAGATTAAAAAATGCCACAAGATGAAACAGTAGGCACCAGAAAACAAATAATGAAACTAGTTAAGTATACAATTTTACCTATATGTTCCCCAAAACTCTAGTTTAGCACTTCTTAGTTGGGATTCAGGAATCTGTATTTTAACAACTCCACCAGGTGATTCTCATCATGAGAGAAGTTTGGGAAACACTGCCTTAGACAATGTCCACGGTCACTTTGATAATTTTTTAACATATAAATAAATACTCTATTTTGGCAGAAGGTATGGGCTGAAAATAGTAAAATTATACTGACATGCTAGTGTATTACCAACATACTTTAATTAAAAGCATGAAACTCAATACTGAATTTAGTCTACAAATCTCAGAAAAAGAACATTATGAAAAATATTATTTTACTTTAATACACTTTTAAGTATTTGCTATGAATAATTAACATAAAATTTGCAATCTTTAAGAAAAGTAAAGTAATAGGTAGAAGGTCATAATCAATCACACCCTCTGTCCTAGGAAACCTCAGTACAGAGCTCTCCAGGTCAGATGGCTACCCTGTTAAACAAAATAATCCCATGAGATCTATACAGCAACTTGATTCCATTGCCTTTAGCACAGCACCTCCTAAACATATATATTGATTTAAGTCATCTTTTGATCTTAAGTGAAAGCACAAGCTTATCAAGCACCAATATGAGTACAGCTTGAAAATAAAGATTCAAGCAGGTGGAATCTCTTCCCCAATAAAGCTAATCAGGCTGTATTCCTATAAGCAATCCTACTGCAACTGGCTCTCAGAAGCCACAACTCAGAAGCAGGATTATATAAAACATTTCAAGAGTGCTCTACTTAGTGTTATTTTTGGCCCTTAAAGTAAGAAACGTCAGTGAGGGATATATAATATAATGCAGCTGACATCTGTTTGTTCTTTCAATATATAACTGAATTTCTCACATTCCTGCCATTTCCTGCAAAACATACACGTGCACATTTACCCCTGAGTTTTACAGAAGAGATTTTAAGAAATATTTTTTCTGGAAACCAGAGCTTATTACTGCTAAATAGAAAATATGATCTCACTGGCCAGGTATTTATTTAAAAAATACCCTAATCACACATTTGACCCCACTTTTGACCACCACTTTTAGGAATGTATACTAAAAGTATCATCCAAAATGGTCAAAATATGTGTTCATATATGTGTATCACAATATCATTTATAGTAATCTAAAACAAATAACCTATTTAAAGCAAAATATAAATAAAAAATATAGTCATACAATAAAATACTATGTAGTCATTAAAGTTTTTTTTCACTGACTGAAAAACATCCATTATATATTGGCTTTTAAAAGTACTTTTTAAAAAAGTGTATATGATATGACTCCGATTATATAAAATTTCATATGTAAGATATACAAATATGAACACACAGGAAAGCTGTCACCAAAATACTAACAGTGGTTAGCTTTATAAGGTAGAATTTTATTTATTATATTTCACATTGTTTAAATATACCACAGTACTATGTATTATTTTTATAGTAAAAATGATTAAGCCTATTTACATTTTGAAAAAAACAATTTTTAAACTAATCTTTTTAGGCTACATTAGCTACTCCTTAGAATGACAAAATAATCTGATTAAATACAATAAAAATATATTTTAAGAATCCAATTTAAATCCTAAAAAAAATATTAAAATGTTAACATTTTAAACGTAGCACCATATGTATTACTCACTGTCTCTTCACCTTCAGCAACTTCTGAATATGGCAAGATCTAAAAAAGAAACAAATTTTCTCAGGAGTGATTTAATCTTATACACCAGAATCTGAATCTAGACAGCACCCACAGTTGAGTAAATGAATTAAGAGGTGCCTTAATCTTTTAAGAAGTAGCCAAAAATTAAAAAAAAAAAAAAAAAAAAAAAAAAAAAAAAGGGGGAGTGCAATATTAAGCTTATGCTGGAAAATAAATCCTTTAAAAAAAAAAAAAAAAAAACAATCCTGAGGCTTCAGGAAATTAGTCAATCTTCTAACCTGTGAAGTTTTCTCTGGAATGTTCTGTTTTTTCAGACCTTCATTACAAAGCATTGCTATCTGTATGTTCAGACATTATTGCAAATTAAGTTCTTGTTATAGAATTTTATTAACAAAGAAAGAGCTTTAAGTTTGTTTTATAAAACATTATGTAACAAAGAGCACTTAGTAGTTTTCCTAAGAAAAAAGATTCCATGTCAATTTGCCTAATTTTTCTTTTCTTTTTTTATGTTTTATTGATTTTTTTTTTTTTTACAGAGAGGAAGAGAGAGGGATAAAGAGCTAGAAACATCGATGAGAGAGAATCATCGATCAGCTGCCTCTTGCACATCCCCTACTGAGGATGTGCCCGCAACCAAGGTAAATGCCCTTGACCGGAATCGAATCTGGGACCTCTCAGTCCACAAGCCGACGCTCTATCCACTGAGCCAAACCAGTTTCAGCTGCCTTATTTTTCAATGGTACCATCTTCCTAAATGCTTTTAGTCATCTGAAACTATTTCCCTTACATTTGAACAAGTTATTAAGTTGTGATGATTTTTATCTAGTCAATATCTTTCTCACATTCCCATTAATACCATGTAGGGCCAGATCCATTTACCTCATTTATCCAATTTTGCATTTATGTCCATTTCAATATATATTCCTGCATTCAATCTCACCTCATTCATTTACTATGCTAGGTACTAGAATTCACAAACATGATAAAAACATGTTTCCTACTGTATTGTATAGTAATTTATTTGACAAGTTATCTCCAGTCTACCAAAATTACTCATTCTTGAAGTTAGCTAGCCTCATCATTAGCAAGTAATTTAACTTCTGTGAAATGAATTTTTTCCTCTTTAAATACATAATTATTAAAACTTACAACTTTTCAGACTTTGCTTTATAAATTTTTTTGTTAATCCTCACCTGAGGATATTTTCCCATTGATATTTTAGAGCGAGTGGAAGAGAAGGATAGAGACAAAGAAAGAGAGACACACTGATTGGTTGCCTCCCACACATACCCCAACTGGGGCTAGGAATAGAGCCTGCAACCAAGGTTCATGCCCTTGACCAGAATCAAACCCAAGACCCTTCAGTCTATGGGCTGACACTCTATCCATTGAACTAATCTGGTTAGAGCTGCTTTATAGATTTTTTTTTTAAGCAATATGTAGACATAAGGCAAAATTACTTAGTAGTAAAACAAATGACAAAGACTAAGAAAGGATGGAGAAGGGAATGGTTAATTTACCAACTATCACTTTAACCACGTTGTTTCTTCTTAACTTAAAAACATTGATAGCGTCCATTATTTATAATAGAAAATAAGCTCCAAACACCGATATTTAAGTTTTCTACAATTATTCACTCCACAGAATGTTTTGATATCGTATGAAATAGCCTTGCAACTCCACAGCTCCACTTATATAAATTATATCTAGGAAAATTGATTGCTTAGAGTGATCTGCAATTTTGTACCTACTTTCTTTTTGCTTTCCTGCTCGATAGCTTGAAAGTTCTTTGACCCTGAAGGCTCAACTCAAATAGCCAATTCTGCTACCAAATTTCAAGCTAAAGTAATCTTTCCTCAACTCTGGCCTTCAAATATCAGCTTGTTTGTTTTTACAATTCATAGTTATCTTATAGTATTTTCTCTATTGCTATCATAAAAAAATTAAACTGTTATTTAACTTTTCCCTAGTATTATAATGGTCTAGTACAGTTCTGTCAAATAGAACTTCCTGCAATGATGAAAATATTCTACTGGTATATCTATGTTAATTAATAGATATAGCTACATATAGCTTTTGTAGAAATGTAGCAAGTGAGATTGAGGGATTAAATATTTAATTTAATAACTTTGAATGTAAATTAGCCATAAATAGCTGCCCTATTGGACAGCTCAGGTCTAGCACAACTTTACCTTTCCCCAGTTCAACGTAATTGATCACTCTCTATCTAGCATTTGCCACTGCAGGCCACTCCTTTTCCCAAAACTCCCTTCCCTATTTTTTAGTTTTCTCTTTTCCCTCTCTCTGCTTGGCTCCCTTCCCTTTCTGCTCGCTTAAGATAGTTAGTCCCAGGCTGCATTCTGGAATCTCTCCTGTCCTCATTCAGTATGCTTTCCCTGACGAGCCCATTGACTTGATTTTTAAATGGGATCTATTCCCTTATAATTCCCCAAATTCCTTTCCCACCTACCCTCAACTGAGCTCCAACTCCTTAAGGCCATCCCAATCACCTTCCCAATATACTCATTCTTCTTACCCCAGGTAAAATATCACATCCTTGGTTAAGCACTTTCCTAACTTCTCATGTCAAGCACAACAAAGGGATACTATATCCCAGTCAGGCATAAAAAGGGATATTCCACCTGATTGTCACTGCATCCTTCTATCAGGCAGAACTGCGGGAAAGAGCTCCACATGTTTCTAAGGACACTCCCCCCTGCACCTCCGTCTTCCTGACTAAGGAGGTGGAAGGACCCCTCACTCACCTTTCCCTCAAACCTCAACATTTACAGTCCAATCAGCAGTCTGCCTAACAGACCTGTGAATTCCACACTTGGCTCTTTTCTCTGCCTTGAAAACTATATTTAGGACTCTGTTAAAAAGTCTCTTTATCAGAAGACTTCCACGATATTCCTAGAAAACAACAACATCCATCTCCTATTCCAGTACTCTCTTTCTCCCCTGCTTTGTCTTTCATCACAACAATCATCACATAACATAGTATATAATTATGCATTTTTTTCTTCCTCCACTAGAATATTAGCTTCACTGGAGTAGGAACTTTTGTTCACTGTTGTACTGCTTAAAACTAGAATAGAACCTGACACATAGTAGACACTCAACAAATAATGAATAAATGCATAAATGAAAAGGATGTAATCATTATTATAATCCTAATATCTAGCAAAGAATTTTTTACATGTAGTTTCCTGAGTTCCTGTCAATATGTCCTGTTTACTAAATGAATTAAATTCTCTACAGCAAAAAACAAGTCTTGTTCATCTTTGTATTTTACAAAACTTAACATTCTGCACACTTGATATAGATATACAAAGAACTAATATGGACTACAATCATGAAATCTCTTTACAAGATTCGCTGGGTAAACAAGCAAATATCTTAAATTTAATTTTCTTATTTGTTCATGAGATCTGTCTTTAAATTGTTATACTAAAACTTCAACATAAAAAAGTGCCTCAATGCTAAAAATATCCTTAGTTGTGCTTAAAGCATATTCATATTTTCTTCAACTATCAGTCTCAGCTATCATCATATGCCCAAATTCCAATGTTAGGAATTCCCTCATCCTTTCTCTTAAATAATTCTTTCTTCTATAAATAATGTTGTTACAGATTCACCATTTTTTTTTGTAATGGAACAGAAATTATACTTCTTTCAGTACTGGTGGTCTCTTGCTATGATTATATCAACCTCCTTAATCTAGATCTTCATATACAAGGGAATTTCAAAATCAATCAATATGTCAATTTTAACTAATGTCATGCATCTGGTGAGACTGCTGGTAAAGTTTGTGGTTATGAAATCGGGGGGGGGGGGGGGGGAGTGATTGTCTACTAAAAAAATAAATAAACCCATAATCTTGGCCTTTGACCTTACTAATATTCTCCTCATATCTGACCTAATCATCCACGGTTACTAAAAATGTTATGAATTAACAACCCAACAGAAACCATGTTATCACATAATAATCATGCCGGGTTAGGTATGCAACTAGTTCTATGAGATAGCTCATGTATAGCTCATCCCCGGAGTATCCCAGATTGGAGAGGGTGTAGGCTGGGCTGAGGGATCCCCCTTCCCCATGCACAAATTTCGTGCACTGGACCTCTAGTATTTTAATAACTATTATGTATGGTGTCAGGTGGAGTACTAGACTTATCAGGGGATCACTTTATAAGTTATATAAATGTCTAAGCATGATGCTGTACACCTAAAACTAATATAATATTGAATGTCAACTATAATTGAAAAGACATAAGGACTATATAACAAATACTTTCCTTCTAGAGTTTTCTATTTCTTCAGTCTATTCTATTTCTAACATAAGACTGATTAGTATATCAAGGTGTTCAGTAGCAAGCCACAGACAAGATTGCGAATAATATTACGGAAACATCAACCTTCATGATTCATAGTATCTACCACACATAAAAATGCAGTTAGCAATGGCTCTTCATGTGTCAGCAACTACATGGTGCCTAAATGCCCAAATATTCACCCCAGATAAAAAAAAGTCAAAATTAGTTACAGGAGAACAAAGCTTTGAGTTAAATAAAATAAATCATGTACTACATCTTTTCAAAGTATACATTAGGCAATGTATATAAAAACTTTAAAGGAGTATTTAAAAAAGGCTAAGTATAAAACATATCTGTTTATACATAATCATATTAGCCTTTGCATTCAATGACAAATATAACATATTTTAGAGCATCTGTATTGAAACCCTAACATACCTAATGACTAGCAATGTGATCTTAAGAAAATTATAACCTCTTGAGAGCCTCAGTTTCTTCATCTCTTAAAACAGAGTACATTAATATATATTATATACTTCACAGTATTATGGAGAGGATAAATGAGAAAGTATGGGAGATATCAAGCCGAGGTCAGCTCATAATAAGTGGGAAAAAATTGTTTTCTCTCCACACAAATTCAGTAGCCCAAACACAACCATGACAAAGGAACATCATCAATTGGCTGCCTCCTGCAAGGCC